CTTTTGTGGACTTGATTATTAATGGATTTTATTTAAAAATGACTCTGGTCAACTTCCTTCACTCATGCTGAAGGAATTAGAGAGTTTTAGAGAGAACATTTTCCTAGTAATCTTTAGGTCCCTCCAGTGCGATTCTAGGTTAGCTTCCAGTGGAGGTTGACCCTACAGTTGTCTTGGAAGATTGAGAAACTCCTACAAGGGTTGAATGAAAAGTAATGCCTCCACCTTTGTAACTCCTCAAAAGATGGCAGTATTGGTATGCGGCAGGTACTGGCTTGTTCAGTAAACTCTCCTCTACAGTTCCATTTTGGCAGGAAGCATTAGCATTGAACAGTTCTGTTGTTAAAGTGCAAAGTATGGAACCCTGCACAGACAGTCGGTCAATACAACTTAAGCAACATGCAGTCATTGAATTCTTGACAGCAGAAGGTGTCACCCCAAAGGAGATTCATCAGAGAATGCAAACTGTTTATGGTGATTGTGTTGATGTGAGTACTGTGTGTCGCTAGGAGATTAAGTTTAAAGATGTTGAAGTGGGAACATCTGACTTGTGTGACAAACAAAGAGTTGGACGTCCTGTGACAGCAACCATCGAGTTTCACAAGCAAAAGGTTGACAGATTGATTCAGGATGATCATCGTATCACTCAGAAAGAAATTTCAAGTATAATCGGCATTTCACAAGAACGTGTGAGTCACATTATTGCTTTGCTTAGCTATCGGAAGATCTGTGCACGATGGGTACCCAGGATGAGAGAACTGTGAAATGCTGGTTGTGGAAACAGAGTGTCGACTTCTTTCATGATGGCTTCAGAAAACTTGTTCATCGTTGGCAGAAATGTATCCAATTGTCTGGTGATTGTGTGAATAGTGAATAGTGAAAAGTGAAAAGTGAATAGTGGTAGTTAAAGAGCACATTCTAAGGATTATTTCTGTGTTTGATTTATTAAAATGTTCCCATCCCAACCCAAGTAACAAAGATGGAGGCATTACTTGCAAAGCACATGCTTAAGCATTAAGCCATGCCCCTCCTCCATGAATACAAATTCAATGAGAAATTTCAACTAGTTCAAAACTACTGAATTAAAAAAAGAAAAAAAATGAATGTTTATGACAGTGGTTCCCAACCTGTGGCCCATGGACCACCAGTGGTCCCCAGGAACTAACTGTTACTACACCACTGCAACAAGAGACATTGGTCTCACAAAATCCTGTTTTGGCAGCAGGGATGTCGGGAGGGGAGAGGCTGACTTCCCATGAAAGGTATGACAAGCCTCTTGACTGCTGCTTCTCCTTCTCCTCCTCCTCCTCCTCCTCCTTCCCCCTGCCTGGAAGAAGGGGGCGCCTTGGTGTCTTTGTTTTTAGGAATGCTCCTGGGGTTATTTGAGATGCTGATTCAGAAACTTGCATTGGATAGACCACAACTGATCCAGATTATTAAATATGGTTTTCTGTGGGTGAACAGATGGCCACTACTGAATGGCATATGTTCTGTATCAGGAACTAGAGCTGATGTGGTCTATCCAATACAATTTTCTGAATCAGCACCCCAAATAACCAAACCAAATCTAAAAAGTACCAAAAACCAATTCTTAATCCTTTTGGTACTAATGTTGGAGAGTGGTCCCTAGTCAAAGTGGTACTTGGTCAAAAAATGGCTGGGAACCACTGGTTTATGGTAAATTTCTCACTATAAAAGAAAGTAAACATTCCTGCCACCAACTGGGGTCCTTCGTAGGAAAAAAAACTTCTGCATGCCCACTTTTAAGTAAATTGGTAATTTTTTATTATTGTTATTTATATGCCATACTACGGGGTTGTTTTCTCTTCTTGCTGCCGTGGATGGTTTTAATGTTACTCTTGTTTCCAGCTCTCATTTACTTGGTATTTTTATTGTTTGATTTTATTGGAAGCTTCATATTTAACTATGTTGTTAAGCCACTCTGTGGTCTCTCATAACCAAAAGACAGGATAGAAATTCCCAGATAAGCAAATACACTTAATTTACTGCTAAGGATTTAACATTGCTGAAAAGTAATTTACGGTGGTGATTACTTTTTATACATTCTGGAACCAGCATGCCCCTGGGAAATGAGCTCAGTTGTCTTCTGGTTCACATTGCACAGCGTAACTATCTGCAGATTTAATGACAACTTTTGGGAAGATGGGGTGACATGAGTACTGATGATTAGGACATGTAAAGGTCTACCATGCTAGTATGAGCTCTCAGGGTTGCCATTAACAACAACAGGTCTGAATTCTTCAATACTTAAATTCTATTATTAAATAGAACTTTCTCTTCTCCGAGAGATGTGCCAAAAATAGTGTCTGAACTGCAAGGTTGTCAGTTGATGCACAAGCCATTGCAGGTCCAACATCCCCTAAGAAGAAAGCTCGAGATTAGAGATTCATACAGCCTGGAGGAAGAGCTTTGGTGAGGCTGATATGTGTCTGTTGTGGGAGTATCTTGGAAGTGGGAAAGGGGAATATTTCTATCCTGCTTCACTTCTGAGCCCTTCCTCTGTTATACTAAAAGGAAAAAGACCTTTTGGATAACTCTGTGGAGAACCACCGTCAGAATAGTCAGCATTAAACTAAAACCTGCCAGTGTTTACTACTGCTAGAGGTTCTCAATGAGGATTACATAGTATTGACTGAGGGATTTAGAAAGTGGGGGGGGGGGGTGTGTGTGTGTGATCATTTTGTTTCTCTTTATCCTCAAATCTTTCTGTATTGGTAAAATGTAGGGTTTTTTAAAACCCTAGACTCATGGCACATATCCCCACCACCACCTACTTTTCTCCTCTACCAGAGTAGTTATTGTCAGGCGTTAAGATCACTAGCAGGCTAGTACCCTTATGTCTCCCGCCCCACCTCGGTTCCACTGTTTTTCCACTGGCACCTCATTTCATTGTCAGGCCATGTGAATTACAAGGGGGGGGGGGATCATTGTTTAATTTGGAAATATATATACTTCTGCATACCTAAAGAAGCATCCATGCAGGCAGAAACTAATAAGTAACAACCTCTTTATTCCACATTCCTGATAAGCATTCTGTCACATTAATTAACTACTAGGAGAAATACCTGGGGTATGCAATGCAGTGTCTGCAAGGCATTGCTGTGCCACTGTCTGGGATGCCAAAGTTTGGGGAAGTGTCTTGCAGTGCTACTCACGCCTTAGGGATGGCTCAAGTCCCATTATATGCAGTAGCATAATAAAATGGTTTCCCTTGTATATAACGCAAAATCAAGGCTTGTTTTTATTGTTATTTTTTAAAAATTGTGTCCACGGATGGTTGATGGGTGCAGAATTCATGAATATGGAGAACTTTCTATATGCAGGTATGGAGACAAGAGTGAGCACTAGAGGGCCATTTTCATACTGAAGAATTTATTAATTAATTAGCAAGGCATAGTCTAGAATGGAATGTACCATCCTTTTCCTGACAGAAGTTTCAGCATGACTTCCATTGTTACCATATTTCATCATATAATAGTCACACTTTCCCTTTCTTTTCCCTTAAAAAAGAGGGTCCGACTATTATGCAGTGAAAAAAAATGTGTCCAGCTATGGTGCTCCAAGGGAGAGTAATGGGGCAACAGAGCTCTGCTGTCATATTCTCTGGCCAGAGTACATAGCAGCTAGGCTTGGTATCATCTGATGATTGTTCTGTGGCCAATTAAATACTGGAATCATCTGCAAAAATAACTTACACTGGAATAACTGGAGTTCTGCATAACTCAGCAAGAGGATTTTGACATACCATTCCACGCTAACATGCTCTTCAGGAGCTTCAAGTGTGCATCATCTAGGAAGCCCAGAGGGAGAATGTGAATTAGGAAGAGGCAGAGAGGAGTTGCTTGTATGTGCTTTGGATCCTTCTCCTCCTCCCACTCCTCTTGGCTCAACTGCTGCCACCATTCTTTTAAGTCTGGCAACTCATACATGCCTGTCAAGCTGTTTGGTGGTTTAAAAATATTGTTTTAAATTATAAATTGGCAAGCAAATTCCTGCATTTAGTGAGGGCTCTGATTTATATTTAAGTGCTTCTCTTTAACTTCCAAACTGATAGGCACCCAAACTGTTGAGTCTGTTCATTAGAGGAAATAATGACAGTTACACAGCGCAACTCCCAGAGAAGCTCCATACAGCTCTGTGAGTAGTTCAGCTTACTCCCTGCCATTCGGTTCTGTAGTAAATTCTTGTAACAATAACATTTTTTTCAAAATAATAATAATCCCACAACATGGTATACTGGCATGGTTGTATACAAAACTACAGGTTTATAGGTGATGTAAAAGTAGCTGAACTATTTTGGAGTTCGCCTTATTTTGAAGCAACATGAGGGAAAAATGCACAATTTAGAGTATATTATTATTAGTATCTCTTAGGATCCATGATATTTAAATGATGACCTGTGCTCCCTTGGCTATTTTTTCGCCAATTATTGGAGCTTCCAGGAAAGAAACAATTCTGGGGAAAACACCCCGTAGTCCCCCTTATCAGATGCCATAAGAAGCATTGGGTTAAACAATATCTGTATAAAATTTATTTTTTCTAGCAAATACTTTCTAGCTAATGTAGGGTAGCTTAATTATTTGTGCGTATACCTTATGCTCCCACTTTTATTCAGAGATATATAAAAGTCACACCATCATATGTTTCTAATTATCAGAATACTTTGAACGACATGTATATCAAGACACAGTTTTGTAAGGGATGCTGGCATATTTTGGTCTCTACCTATTTGGAGACTGTTTTGCTGATCACTGTTGCTGCACATTTGCAAAATAGTGTATCTTCTGGACATAAGGAAAGATTCTTAACCACTGTGACAACTCTACAAATAAGGATTTCTATGTTTTGGATTCTTTGGGACTGCAGCTATAAGAATATTTAGCACTTCTGAGCACATGGGATCTTGAAAAACATTTCTCTTCTACAGTCATTTTTTGTTGAAACACAGTAGAAGCTCAAGAAATCTTCAACAGAAAATGTACACTTCAAAAATATTTTATTGGAAATTATGATAAAACCTGAATACCAAAAGATGAGCTTGGAACTCATCTGAGCAGGCACAAAAACAGCAGTTTACTCCAAACAGGATCTCAATGTAAGAGGCTGTTATTTGGCCCGTGACACATTGACAGGATGTTGTGAAAATGTCAAGAATATATTCTAGCATAACAGGATTATGTATATGTTTACAGATATAGTTACAAGGAGACTTCTTTCTGTTTAACTTGGTAAATGTACAAAGCAGTCATACAAATTCCTCAATTACTCACATCAAATATGTACAAAAGTAGTTAATTGCTTATTCTTCTCATATTTTCCTCTCCCCAAACAATTGATTACAAAGACTTGGAAAGACTTTATAAGAGTCCCAACAGAAGAACTGTTCCATGCCTGAGCGGCTGGTTTCCCTCATTATCAGGATTCATCTGTTCTCCTCTGACAATATGGACAACAGTTATACTGCAGCACCAGGAGTTCGTAATCTTCTGAATGAAACATCTGCAAATGAAAGCTTCAGGTGTTAAATGTGCCTGAATGTAAGTCATAAGGTGGAGGGTGAGTAGGTTAGACTGTTCTGAGATCATTTCTGGCACTTTCTTCCTGTGTATAAGCAGTCTAAAAACTACAACATAGAAGGCTATCAATATTAGACTCATTCACAACTTCATTTGCAACGTCCTCCCACATGATACATATAATCACCAGTCAGTAATGTCCTCCTGCTGTTTCCGTAGGCCAAGCATGCTGACCTCTATGTAAAAGAATGTAAATAGACTCAAATTTGATTGTTAAAATGGGGCAAAATTAAGAAACAGATGAAAACATTTCGGTGTTCCAGGACATTCTGTTCCTGACATCGAAGTCACCAGACAACAGCCCAAGGCTACAATAATAATAATAATAAACTGCATAGAGAAAATGATTAAATCGATTTTGTGAGTAAAATATTTGTATTGTGTATAGATTCATTCAGTATTCGGATATTATTCCCAGCAAAGAAAGAAATTGTTCTTCAAGTATTAATTAAGCATATTGTTATTGTGAGACATCAAGCTATTTCCAACTTATCATGCTCCTAAGATGACGCTATCATATCATGTGGGTAGGTTGAGATGGGGTGGTAAGATGTGTTCAGAGGGTGTTTTCCTTTGCCTCCCTCTGAGGCTATGGGAATACACTTTGCCCTAAGCCACCCAATGGATTTTCATGACTGAATAGGGATTTGTAGCCTGGCCTCTAGAGCCATTGTTCAATGCTCAAATTACTACACACTATGCTGGCTCTCTGTTTTTAAAACATAGCAAAATTTAATAAAAATGTAACTTTGGATAGAAAAACATTAAATAGTATCTCAAGTGATTGCAGCAGTAAATACATCATTCTGTTGTTTTTTTGTTTTGTTTTTTTTGTTTTTGTTTATTTTGCTGCATTTCTAGGCTCTGCCTTGCAACACAATAGGCCTGCTGCCGCCATTTACATGCCATTGTCTTTAGACATGTGTATAAATCCATGCCAACTGAGGATACACTTCATGCGTCTCAATAACACTTTCATGCTCCAGCCCATGACATATTGAGCCAATATATATTTGTTAGTTTTTAAGGTGCCATGTTCCTTTCTGTCTACAAACAGACTTACACAGCTATCTCTCAAAAATTAATGATTGTAACTGAATGAACTGCTCATCTGAGTACAATTTTTCAGTAGATTTAGTCTCAATCATCCACCTCCAACAACAAACTGCAACCCTTGAGATATCATAAACAAAGATTCTCAAGCACCATGCAAAGTTTCATTTGAAAGATTTGGGTTTTGATTAGCCCTAAATGCTGAAGACAACATGAACAAGACTATGGAACGCAGGCTCTTAATCATGTTGTTTCTCTATATAACCTCATAATGTGTTCCTTCACACTAAGCACCCTCTTCACCCATAAAATCTATTTACTATTTGAGTCTTCCATGTTGTATGGCCATGTTCCAGAAGCATTTTCTCCTGATGTTTCACCCACATCTATGGCAGGCATTCTCAGAGGTTGATGGATCTGTTGGAAACTAGGCAAGTTGGGTTTATATATCTGTGTAATATCCAGGGTGAGAGAAAGAACTCGAAATTCAGGACAGTAAATAAAGAGCAAAAAATAAAAATAAAAATAAAAAGCAGGGGAATTCCAGACAAGAATCAATCAGGGCCAGCTTACACCTCCCAATAAAGGATTCCCCCAGGCAGCAGGCAGCAAGGCATTGAAGCTGCAAGGCCATTAAATGCTAATCAAGGTGGCCAAGACAGGAGTTCTTTCTTCCACCTTTGACATTCTACAGATATATAAACCTCACTTGCCTAGTTTCCAAGAGACCCCTCAACCTCTCAGGATGCCTGACATAGATGTGGGCGAAACGTCAGGAGGGAATGCTCCTGGAACATGGCCATACCTCCTGGAAAACTCACAGCAATGCAGTGCTTCCGGCCATGAAAGCCTTTAACAACACTTTTACTAACTGACTACTTCAACTAGATACTCAGAAAATGAGGGATAAAATCACCAAAGAGAAGTACAGTTCACTCTTCTGCTTTTTTTTTTTTTAGCTTATCCAACAGATTTAGCCATTTTCTTTGATGGTTATTTACTTTTTAAAAACATGTCAGAGCTAAAATAGCTGTGGAACCTACTGAATGAATTGCTGAGCTTTGTGTCAAAGCATATGTAAATCTCACTGATTCAATGGGTGTAATCTAGTTGGGGTTACTAGTGGTATTCCATCCTTTCTCTTTCCATTTTAAGCCTTCGTTTTATTTTTATTTTAAAGATCAGCCAGTTGTATATTATAACCAAACCAGGTCTTCCTGTTACATGTATTTCTGAGGAAAAAAATTCTCAGTTCCCAGGTGAAATCCTGCTCATACCTGAAAGCAGAAAGGACACATGGTGATGGGATTGTCTGGCAGCAGGGACCGGAAGTACTGCCAGCGCAATGGCTTTGGCCAGCGTTTCACCAGCACATCTCTTCTACTCATTGACCTAAGAATGGCACGGTTCACTACCACAGGAACAAATTCTGATCCTCCTTGCTGCAGGAAAAGAGTGATCAACAAAGGAATAAAATCTTTGAATTTTGCGGATCACTGAAAAGATTAGATTTTTTTTCAAATAATATGTATGCATTTCCAGTTTGCATATACTGAGGCTGCATTTGCACTGAGCTGTCAGGTTCTTTTTCTGTTCTGTTTAGCCCTGAAAATATCCCTACCTCTGGGAGGCTTGGAATGTCCTACTGCACCTGAGGCTTGCAAAGCATTGAAGAGATTCCCCTACAGCCCTGAACCCTTCATCACCAGCACTAAATCAGTTTTGTCACCCAAGGCAAACATTATATGCTTCAACTATTCCTTTTGTATTTATTGTCCCATAATTTGTCATTTTTGTGGAACTACAGCAGGAACAACTTCCACAAATTATCTTTCATTGACAGGAAAACATCCTACTCACTTTCCAAAACGATACAAGGTGAGTGTCGTGACATCTGGTGCCCCATAGCGCACCCAAAAAAAATCCAGACCTCTAGGATATTTCAGAGGCACCATAGCTTCACATAGCCACTTTTAATATCATTAAGACCCTGCCTACTGCTCTACATAATCTTTTTCAAATCACTTAATATTCACGTGCCACTGCAAATGCCTTTGAGGACTAATTTTAAAGACTGACTTTGATGGGCTAATTTTGACAGCTGCTGTCCTTAGAAATTAGCAGCTTTATGACTTTTGCTGCCAAGTCTTCTAGAACAATAAAATGCGGTTATACTCTGAAACTGTATCCTCATATAGTCCCAGATGGCAGTAGGTAGCTAGATAGGAGTGTGGGATTCAGCCCAGCATCAGCCTAAGGCACAGTGGAAGATGTCATAGGGGTCAGTGACACTCGCTGGGCCCAAAGCCACTACAGCTATTGCTGCAGCCAACACCAGCACCAAATGAATGCCTGATTTCCCACAGCAGTTCTCTAATTTCAGTTTGAAGTTAAGACATTTTCCGAAGTTGGGAAAAACTTGTGTATATCTCTCTTAAAATAAAAAGCAGAAATGTTAATATCCAAAATGCCCACTTTAATCAGTGTTTTAAAATCCACTTTGAGTGATTTTCAAGAGTCTAGCCACTTGACCTATGTCATCCTAGCTGGTCAGGTTTACAAACCATTGAAACATCTTAGGAAACATAAAAAAAATCCTTAGATAGGTTTCATGCTCCCCAAATAGCAACTGAAAATTAAAATGGCCAGGAAAAAATCAAGACAATATTATACAGTACAACACTTGTGTCCACAGAATTGGTATCCATGGTTTTATTTATGTCCGACAAAATATGTCATCTATAGGCATTTTAAGGGCTTCCAGCATGGCTTTATAGGATTCTTGGGCCACAAGTGCTTCATTTCAATAGGATTTGCTATCATCCCTGGTCTGTGTATCAATGCAAAATATTGGAATGTGACCCTGCAGGTATGTGGGTTGTACTGTATTACACTGTAGGGGTGATTCTTTGTAGTTCATTAACAGCACAAAGGAGGGGAGGGCTGGGGGGAAAGACTAACCTCAAAACTCAGTTTTGCTGTGAATGGATCATCCTCTTCAATCTCCTCTGCTTTGTAAAGAAGACTCATTGTCTGTATACCTATGAATGTTTGTTAGGGAGGAAACATGGCTCCAATACACACATTATGTAACTGCACTCTGTGCAAAGGTAAAGCTACAGAATTCTTATGATTTTAATACTTATTTCTACAATTCCCAGGTCTAACAGTGAAAAGCTATAAAACTGACATATAATTTTAGCAATGTCTGGATTATGACTTCTTAAAACTGTATTTACCCAGCACCGTCTTGCTGAAAGCAGAAAACTATACAAAATAATATTCATGTTATTGAATACGATGTTACTCTTCTCCTTTCAAACTTCCATAATATTCCTTAAATCTTTTTCCTCTCCCGTTTTCTTCTGTGTATTGTACATTGCATCTCGTCTTAAAAACAGATTTCATCTTCTCTAGCTTCATGCCATCATCCAGTCAGCAATACAAGATTCTGACAGTGAAAGGAGCACCTAAACTACCAAAATGACAAGAATTGGCAACACTATCTATAATGATGGATTGCAAAGTAAGCCCACTCTATTCTTCCTTTGCTGGAGGGTATAATAACAAGAAAGCAATTACTTGAAAATAAAGCAAACAATTATTTTTAGCCTTTACCACTTTGATGTTTTTTGTTGAAGAAGGTTTAAAAATATATACATATAGGATAGCTATATGTTTGTCTCAGTGGCATATTTTCCGAAGGAAGCGCCAGGAACAGAAGGATACTGTCACTCATCTGCTCTTGCCATTTACTGTCTCTCTTGTTTAGTCTTGGTACTTCCAGGTCAATCAAAGCAACAGCTTCTTCATCAGTGATCCCTTCCTCTAAATAGAACTCAACCAAGTGCAAGATGTCTGAAAAAGATACAAGTGAAAAAGGAAAGGACAGTTACTTCTGTAAAAAGCCTGGGGTTTCAGATTGTGAGGTGGTGGTGGTTTTGTCTTACACTCCTCTACCCTGGATCATCAGTGATCAGGGTGGGTATAAGAACCCAGATGGTAAACTTATATTATTCCACACATACATATACATATTCTGAGCTCAAGCTTCCATTAGTAAAGGGTTTCATATACTTAGTTAACACAACTGAAAAAGATACTATGTAAACCATTTGTAGCTCCTGCCTCTTAGTCCACAGAAATTCAGGATAGTTTAAGAGGAGGCTTTAGCATCTGTATTGGGAGCAGTAACCCTAAAATAAGTGGAAGTTACTTAAAAGATTTCTTTAACATGTAGTCAACCTGAAAAATGTTGAAGGATGATTTGTCTAATTAGGAAGGTGGAGATAGTCCAGCACTGTTAGCCCTACTTTTAACAATGTAATTTGAAATTTTGAAAGGTTTTTGTTAGACATGGGCCCAGTTACCGTTTCATCCATTTATTTTGTGTTTTCATTCCTTTGTTTCATTCGGACGGCACAAAACAGTCTAACTCCCCATGGTCCGAAAATAATAGTGAAAAGAAAAAGAAAGTAGCGACAGTAACCGTATGGTCACCTGCTTTTCGGGCCATGTGGTGCGGCCCAGGGAGAATTTCTGTGTTGCTTTATCTCTGAGCCTAGTTAGGCCAATCAGAGGAGAAGAACCTAGTGATGTGAGCATGCATTGTTCAGGATATTGGGGCAAGCACCCCAAAGCGCTCATCACGTTGCACGTGTCTTGCTCCTGTGCTTGCTTACTTTGCTTCCAGCCAGCCAATGATTTTTGCCTTAGCTTGGCTGCTTGTGCTTGGCTGTTTGTATATCTTTGGTTTCTTTATTTTTATTTCATTCTTTTTATTTTTATTTAACGGGACTGGGAGTTTTGAATGGGTGAGGGTGGTTTGTGCCAGGTGTCGCCCCTTGACAAGGGGCTTTGAGGAGAAGGGCATCTCTTTGCTTGCTGCCCAGATTCTTCCTTTTCTTTGCTTTGCTTTGCTTTTAAAATATTTTAAAGTCTTTGGGTGGCTGACAGAGCCTTAGTCAGGGTCACCCTAATTTTGTTTTCTTCTCCATTCCTCTCCTATACCTAAAAAGCCTTGTGAAAGATATTAATTATAATTATATTACTGTAATAGCATTTCAACCAGCACTTTAGCTGCATTCCTTACTTCTACATCTGATATATTTCTCTCTGTGGATATTCTGCCTCTTGAATTTTATTAAATAATTATTTTTCAAAGGAAAGTAATTGTTAGCCTTCAGTAGAATAATTTCTCCACCTTTGAAAACCACTATCTTTGTGATTGTGTTATGTTTTTCTTTGATTGATTTTAATGTGTTTGTTTTTATTTGTAATATTTGGGCTTGTCCCCTTGTAAGCCGCCCTGAGTCCCCTTGGGGAGATGGTGGTGGGTATAAAAATAAAGTTATAATATTATTATTATCTCTCTATCAAACCTTCAATCTCTATCTCTGTACCTGCCCTGCCTTGTTCAGCCCTCTAAATCACTGGATTTCCAGGACTAGTTAAATCACATCTGTAATCGTTTTAAGAAAAACAGCCACAGGGTCACCTTCAAAGGAGTTTGACCAAGTTGGTAGGCTAAAAGTGGTAGATATGCACACCATGTATGGCAATTTTCACCCCTCTAGCCCTAAAACTGAAAAAAGGGAGAGCCTGAGAAGCCCTCCCATATCCGTGAATGGTCCAAAAAATTTTTTCTTTCGGATGCAGAACAAAAATGCCCATTTGGAAAGGTGTCTGTTTTCGAAAGCAGCGCTCAAAAATGAAACAAACAGAAATTGATAGATTTGGATTTTTGCCATTTTAATTGTTTCAATGTTTTAATGTTTTAGTGTGATTTAGAAATATGATGTTTTAATGACGGTCTGTAATACTGATGTTGAAAACTGGCCCGAGTCCCTCGAATGGAGGTGAGAAGACCGGTATACAAAACTACCAAATAAATAAATAAATAAATAAATAGAGATTCTATACAAATGTACAAGACTAATATTAGCTACATTTTACTGGCAGTCCCCATGTTACAAGATAGGTTCTATAGTTTGTTCTTAAGTTGTATTTGTATGTAAGCTGGAACAGATACATTTATTAAGTGTAACTCCAGCCAATTTTTTTTTTAAGTTTTGGATAGCACATGGAACGGTGATGTTTGTTTTTCTGTCTGTGCCCCTGTTCAGAAGATTTCACCTCACTTTCTCTCCCTGTGACAATTGGATTAGGAAAGGTCTGGAGAACAAGCCCTATGAAGAGCATCTTAAAGACCTGTAGAAGAAAAGTTTTGGCTTGTCGTGGAAACCACTATTTGTGACAGAACATCAATGGACAACCCTTTTTCTCATGACAACTCTTCCAGGAGTCAATTTCTCTTTCTAGAGGTAGATTTCCTCTCATTTCTCGTTCTAACTAGGAGTTGTGTGTAAGTTGGATGTTTGTAACTTGGGGACTGCCTCTACTGATAGGAGCTTTGATCTTTCAGCATACCATAAGATGAAGCCGCAAAGACAAAAGGTTGCCGGCAATTGATACAAACGTTTCCCAGGTTGTTCAACAGGGGGTTGTGTGTGGAACATCTGTAACATAAAGGCACAAGCTCCTGCAAAGAAAGAGTGGAAAGTCAGTATGAGTAAACTGGCACAATCTGAACTATTTTGGTTGCATCACTAGGGTGGCCATTAAACTGAGAACTCTCTTTCTTTGCAGGCTTTCATCCCACTCAAGACAGTGGAACAAACTGCCAGAAGAAATTTGATAGCTAGATCCACTGTTGGAATTTAAGATACAATTGAAGACGCATTTCTTCCAGCAGGCCTGTCTGGTCAATTTTAAGGATGTCATCACAAAGAGCTGTCTTTTAATAGTGTTTTATCTCTTGCTTTAATGATGCTGTATCCTGCTTAAAGCAGCAGGGAGAGACAGGTAATACATTTGTTGTTGTTGTTGTTGTTATAGAAATATCAGACCACCTTACAAAGTAGGTTCCAGTGGAACCCTCCAATACTGGAGTAAGCATGAGAACACCTGTATGCACTCTCTGGATTCTGAACCATTTATTCATTTATTTCCAGCATTTCTATCCCGTCCTTCTCAACTCTCGAGGGGGGACTCAGGGCGGCTTACACCGGCAATCATCTATCCAAAGCATCACCACTGCAATTAAATATCTATCTATCATATATAATCACTCGCCACCATTTAGAAATACATACAAGGAATCAGAACATCAATAAGCATTTCATTTAAAAAACGTGTTGGCCACAAGAAAAATGTAAAAATCTTTATCACGATTACATTTCTGTCTACTAAAAGCTTATTTTATTGCTGCCTTGATTAGCCTAATAAGGATTTTTGAATTCCTATCTCCACTTCACTTCAAATCAAGGCATTCATGGAGTCATAAGATGTCAAGATCTAGACAGGAGCTACTAGTAAAGTTATATATGTGAGCCATCTCGTTCTCATGTAAGCCCCCAGCAGACTAGAGGAGGGCAAATGTTGTCCCTATCTTCAAGAAGGGGAAAAAAGGACCCAAACAATTACCATCCAGTCAGCTTGACATAAATACTAGGAAAGATCCTGGAGCAGATCATTAAGGTGGCAGTCTGCCATCACTTAGAAAGGAATGCTATGATTACTTAAAGTCAACATGGATTTCTCAAAATCAAATCATGCCAGACTAATCTTATCTCTTTTTTCGATAGAGTTGTAAGCTTGGGAGATGCAGGGAATACTGTGGATGTAGCATATCTTGATTTCAGTAAGGCCTTCAACAAAGTCCCCCATGATCTTCTTGCAAGCAAACTAGTCAAATGTGGGCTAGGCAATACTACTATTAGGTGGATCTGTAATTGGTTAAGTGATCAAACCCAAAGGGTGCTCACCAATGGTTTCCCTTCATCATGGAAAGAAGTGACTAGTGGAGTGCTGCAAGGTTCGAACCTGGGTCCAGTTCGGTTCAACATCTTTATTAATGGCTTGGGTGAAGGTTTAGAGGGCGTACTTCTCAAGTTTGTAGATGACACCAAATTAGGTGGGATAGCTAATGTTTCAAAGGACAGGATCAGAATTCAAAATGACCTTAACAGATTAGAGAGCTGGGCCAAACCTAACAAAATGAATTTCAACAAGGACAAATGTAAGATACTACAGTTATGCAGAAAAACTGAAATGCAAAGATACAAGATGGGTGATGCCTGGTTTGACAACAATCTATGTGAGGAAAGATCTTGGAGTCTTTGTAAACATGTTGAACATGAACCAACAGTGTGATGCAGCAGCTAAAAAGCCAATGGGATGCATCAAAAGGAGTATAGTGTCTAGATCGAGTGAAGTCATGGTGCCTTTGTATTTTGCTTTGGTTAGACCTCACCTGGAATACTGTGCCCTATTATGGGCACCACAAATCAAAAGAGATATTGACAAGCTGGAAGGTGTCCCGAGGAGGGAGACTAAAATGATCAAAGGTCTGGAGAACAAGCCCTATGAAGAGCATCTTAAAGACCTGTAGAAGAAAAGTTTGAGATGAGACATGATAGCCATATATAAATATGTTAAAGAGTGTCATAAGGAAGAGGGAGCAGACGTGTTTTCTGCTGCCCTTGAAACTCGGACTAGGAGCAATGAGTTCAAATTACAGGAAAGGAGATTCCACCTGAACATAAGGAAAAACTTCCTGACCATACGAGCTATTCAACAGTGGAACTCTCTGCCTCGTAGTGTGGTGTAAGCTTCTTCCTTGAAAACTTTTAAACAGAGGCTGGATGGCCACCGGTCAGGGGCATTTAAGATTGTGCAAGGGATTAGACTAGATGTCCCACATGGTGTCTTCCAATTCTATTTATTCTATGATTCCCTATACAGAAGATGTAACTGCAAGTAGGCAGTGCTCAGTAGAAAGCAACATTCATGAAAGAACTGACTGGAGGAATCCTTCTCTGGAATGCTATGGGCACAAGTTATTTAGGCCAAGGTTTGGTTATGTTTCACTGTGAGGTTTTTTAAAGGAGCAGTGTGAAAGAAAGAGAAGCCAAAAGAGTATCAAAATCCACAACAAGTATATAAAGAACAATAAAAAATATTTACTTTCTCTCCAACTCTGTAAATATAAAATAATAGGTGGCCATTTTAAGACGGGAAAGGGCTCTCTGTGGCTTTTTCCATTACCAAGTTTTACCAAGATGGAGAATTCATTGCCATATAATGTGATGGCAACTAATACAAAGGGCTTAAATTAAAAATACCCGAGAGAAAGTGTTTATCAGCCCCAGAGACTATATACATCTGGTGGCGTGTGAACTTTTTTGGAGCCATTTTCACAGCCACTGTTAGCAAGTCAACATTTTTACTTAAATGAATCCCCAGATGATCTCAGTCAGCCTAATAATTCTTATTTTCTTAATGTTCTTTTTACACCAATGGAATGGTATCAGTATCAAGTCAGACATATAATAGTGAAATTGGGACTTTTAAACTTTTATAAATATATTTCCAGAAAACGACTGCTGGAGTCATTACCTATTCAATTTTCCATTGCTGCAGAAGCAGATGAATCCTAGGCAACACATTGCCAGAAAGATGTGAACAAAGGTTGCTGAAGCAGGTCTTCTGGCTTGGAGGCTTGACAAAGCATAAGACCTTTTGATTCATTCACTTCCATGTTCTTTTAAATTGCACAATTACTTCAGGCAGCTATATGGATCTCCAGGGCCTTATTGTATTTATATTATTTCAGGTGGCCAGATGGAGTGCATTTTTTCCTGTTCATTTAAGGTTAAGCATTTGCACCATACAATTTATTTTGACTGCATGCCCTTTTAGACAGAATTTCACTGAACATGGGAAAGGCTTGGACAACTACTAAAAAGAGGAAGGCCACCTTTTAGCAAGATAATTTACTAGAAGAAATGGGTCCCAAGAGCTTGAAAAGATGGGGTCCAAAGCATGAGAACTGCAAATACAAGAGAAACTGTGGACAGCCCCAGGAAAAAGAAAGGCATCAGTAAATGCTTCTGGGAGTAGATGAAAACAGAAGCTTTGGACCAATATGGTAAGGCTTGATAAACTGGTAAGAAAAGGGAGAGGGGCACATACAGATTACAGGGCAAGGTAAAAAGTATGTAAAAATGCAGGTTCTCCTTTCCAATTATTATTTGAATAGCGACCTCAAATGCAATGTAACCTATTGCTACATAAACACTGCATTTGTTTCTAGCATGTCTTAGATTTTGCACCAATGCCAAAATGATCTCTTGTGCCTTGTCAAATTTAAAAATCTGAGAACGATAAAAAAGGAAACTTACTTCACTGTCAAGGAAAGGCTTGGATCGGATTGTCAAACTTCCCAGCTCAATTGATTTCTGAAATCTTGCTGGAATCTGCAGCCCCTGCAACTTGTCATAGGCATGACGAGCCAATTTATAGGCGCCCAGAGCTTTGCTCTGCTTTGCCAGGGCAAATAACGTATTGCTGTAATCAAATTAAGGAACAAAACGTACACATGGCAAGGAGGAAAAACCACATCATTGCTTTCAATTAGAGGAGGTATGCGCTGAAGCGCAACCAAAGCCAGGCCTTGCAAGAGATCTCAACTAGAAAAGTCAGTTTACATCATCAGGTTTACATAAACACAATATGAAACAACAACTAGTATGCTGAATGGAATGGCATAACAGGAGTTGGCAAGAAAGCATGTGTGCCTGAGCAAGATAAAGAGGTAACATCAGTAAGAAGTGGCCCTTTATGTCAGGGATTTGTAATACTCACAGAGAGAATACAGGACATAAAGATGGCTTGCAATGAAGAATATATGCCATATTTGATCAATATGCCTCTGTTGTGCAACTTTAAACTGGTATCCTTAAACTGCAGCCCTCCAGCTATTTAGGCCTCCAACTCCTAGAATTCCTGATCATTAAACAAGCTGGCTACAACTTCTGGAAGTTGAAGGACCAAACAGCTGGCAGGCCACAGTTTGAGGATGCCTGGCATGAAATGTTACATGCAACATGCAGCACACAAAGAAGCATTGCCAGATCTACTCTGCAAACACAAGTCCTATAGCCCATCACACAAAGAAGTGAGTTTCTTCACAGTTGATAAGTGATCAGCCAACCGCTAAGTGGCCAAATCTAGCCTTCCAACAAGCCCTATCTTATAAATTGAGCATTAACAGGTTTACATTTTAAAACTTCACCTCATCTGGGTTAATTGGATTCCAAACCTTTCATCCAACATCACAGGGTAAGATACCCATGGCAAGTTATCAGGCACTTCTCCCAAATCACAAGAACGAGGTTAGCCCTGATTATCTTCTACACCCTGAGCTATGAAGTATATTAGTAAGATTTGTAAGCACAGTGATCAAAGATTTTGGCATCCTTCATAATTTTAAAATTATGTCTGTTTATTCTATTTTCAAAACATCAAAAAGAAAGCACTAAAACTTAGCTTAAATCTGATACAAGGCATTCCGGATTTCACCCAGGTGTTGAAGTAGTTTTGCTCGACCCTATAGGACAAAACTACTAGGGACACAATCCTAAGAAAAAGCAAAGAAAACTTCGCTGTTAAAGACGGAAAACAGGAAAAGGGAGCTACTTTTCAGGCAATTCGTCCTGAAAAAGCTAAGTACTGTGTACACAAAACAGCAATGCTCCAGGATATCAACAACAAATTGTTTTTAAACATACCTGGATATGTCAGGGATTGAATCAGAAAGTGATGGCATACAAAGTTGCTGCAAAAATAATAGTGTTGGGGCTCTTTAAAAACCAGCCAATTCAGGGTGCTGCGAGCTCTTCTGAGCTAGAGTCTTTAATATGAGATGATTTGATGTTTTGGGCTCCAAGCATCTGAAGGAAAACATTTCTTTAAAAAAAAAAATAATTCTGAGCTCTATGCCTGCATGGCTTATAGGTGTCTTTTATGGTACCGAGAAACTGGCTTTGGACTCTGAGTGTTAAAAAGATTTGAGGATCTGAACACAGCAGAAATGGAAGAGCCATGTAAGATTTTTCTAGGCAATACATTTCTGCTTATAGTTTTAGGCTTTTCACAATATAACCCATACCAATAAATCTTTTGCTTGGTTTAGGAGGCATATCTTTGATTTGGCTTGTTGTGGATCTTGGGAGAAAGATCCAATCAATCAATCAATTTCAAAGGATACACTTTAGAGATTCCCAAAGGAGTTTCCTTAGTGAGGCTATGAAGTAAAAATCTGGACACATTGAATAGGGTTTCAGGCAAATAGTGATTGAAGGGTTCTTCCTGCAGTGTTTTAAAAAAAGGTAACACTAGTAAGAAATACACAGGCATTCGCTGATTTCTATCTTACATGACACTGTTTTATTCAGAAAGTGGCAACCCTCGAAAACTCCAAAAAGAACAGATCTAATCTTTTCTTTAAAGACAGAGGTCACAAAGATAAGCCATTCAGGGGACAATTCAAACTGGCCTGAACACATGAGAGCAGATTCCCAAAACACAGGAAACATAAGGAACAAAAGATATTATTTAAGTGTTTACTGAATAGTTTAAAGCACAGAGAGTGAACTAAGTGTGAAGCTTTTAGGAAATATCTTACAGTGCACTTGTGGATGAAGTGATAGGCATGATAAAGTTCTGCCAAATGCTGGAAGTGATGGAACTTCTGTAACATTTCAGTCTTCTGCTGTTCATTCTCTGAGGGAGGGAAAGGCAGTCTCAGTTTTTTTTTTAAAAAAACCCACTGATCAGCTGCCAACCAGTAATGAGAGATGTACTAAAGAAACAGCACAGACCATTTTGGTTACTACACTAGCACTCCAAGAACATTATGACCGCTGAACAAGTATGTCTCAAAGTCTACCATGTGTAGTCTGATGAGCTACATACACAATTCTGTACTCTTAATTCAGAGGAATTAAAATGACAAATGACACTGGTGAATATTTTTAACATGGCCAGGGGCTATGGCTAACCGTAGACCATATTTGTCATTCATTTCTGGGAACTCAATCTACAGAAGTTACAGGGAAAGTAAAGGCCATATATACTCAAGTATAAGCAGAGTTTTTCAGCCGTTTTTAGGCTGAAAAAGCCTCCCTCAGCTTATACTCGAGGCAAAGTTATTTATTATTTTACTCTGTTGTTGTTGTTAACATTTATTATTTACTCTATTTATTATTATTACATTTATTATTTTACTCTATTCATTATTGTTATTATTACATTTATTATTATGATTACATGTTTTATTTTTCCCTATTTTATTATAACATTTTGATTATTTTACTCTATTATTATTATTATTATTATTATTATTTTATAACATTTATTATTTTACCCTATTAATATTGGAAGGATACTAAGCACATTTAGATTTACATTGAGACTTTAATGGCCTGAATAATGGACTCAGGAAAACTATTTGGATATGAGATCATGACTAAGTATCTTATATGTGTTTTTTTAAATCTGTTTGATAGATTAGGATGAGTTTTTATTGTTTATATGCTTAGGTTGTTAATATTTTTATGATATGTGTTTTATTGTTACCTGTGTGGCATTGAATTTTTGATGGACTTTTAAGACGAAAGCCTTGCCACACTGGGTTCATGAAAGTGAGATATAGATGTAACTAACTTATTAAAGAACATAGTGAATAAAAACAAATAAATCCCTGTGACTTCCAACAATTGGACTGAGGAAATTTAGAAACCTTTCCAACAAGCAACAGCTGTGGAACTGTGGATCCAGGACCCCACTTGGGCCCTGGGCCCACAACTCAATTTCCCCAGCACAACTGCCAAAAGAAACATAATGATAGAGTCCAATTAATTAATGTCAACCTTTCTCTCCTATAAAAATCTTGACTATTTAAAAACAAGTAGCTCTGAACTTTAGTCCTCCAACTACTGGTTCGGTAGTATATTAATGAGAGAGGTCCCCCCCCCCCCCCCCGCGACACAGAGATCCTTCTATAAGGAGAAGGGGAAACACTTTAAAGAGAAGGAAAATAAAACAAAAGGTTACACATTCCACATTCAGTGTCTAATGTGTTGGAAGGGACTATGTTTAAGAAGAATTGCCGGGGGGGGGGGGGGGGGAGAAGCACGAAAAATGTTACTGGTCTCCAAGGAAAAAAAGAAATGCCTAGATGGAAATGGACATAGCCAGCCCATATTATTCAGAGATAATAATCCCTCCATCTGTTGAGGAACAGAAAAAAATGAAGATATAGCTGAACTTGAATTAAGAAAAAGCTTTGTGTGTTGTCATCAATTCCAACCATACATGAAAATGTAAGATCACAAAGCAGACAGTATAAATATCTGACTACTAAACAACATAGTCTCTAAGTCTTGTAGAGCACAATTTACTAAGAGCTATCAAACTATTTAACAGTTTGTGAGATGTTCTGCTTTCATGCATGAATACACCGCATGCAAACTTACTTCCATACCTTGAGCAATATCTAAACATTGCATGGAGAGCATCCAGTAATAATACCCTGCATCGTTGAACCGGCTTTCTACCACTGCGTTCTGAGTTAATTGTTCCAACACTTTGACGGCTTCAGTCTGTCTGCCAGCTTTGTGGAATGCTGCAAAGGGGGCCAAAACAAAGATTTTACTGAGTGATTAAACTAATTAACCTGATTAAAATTAAGAACAGGTCTTGCAACTAAACAAAGAAACAGATGAAAAGGATTATACTCTGGCGGTTTTCTACGTGCTTGTGGGGAAATTAACGTGGCTCTACATACATCAAAAAGGTACTTTGTGGCTTTTGTGGCATCTCAAGCTTTTTAAATTCATTTTGGGGGCATAATCTACCAAGCATGGTGATAGCGCAACCTCCAGTCAATTGAAGGATGTTTTTGTGTTGTTACTGAGTAGTCCCATTAAAACAAACAAAGTTAATGCATAAGCAGTGGGAAACAGATGACACTGTACTAGTAGGGGAAGATAAGAATACCATAATTGCTACTTTTCAAGCTAGCTGACAATTAAATAAGTGTCAATCTCTTTTCTCAAAGTAACACTTTGCGTTATTCATATCTTGAGTGCTCCAAGTTAACCATGATTTAAAAGGGGCCACACAGAGAGTTAATTCATACTTCAGTTTTGTAGTGTAGTATAAACTTGTTAAAAAGGTCAATGACATAAATATTGCTAAGCAACTGAAGAACAGCATATGTCTATTTTAAGTAGCCATGTTTCCCTAGTCAACCCTCAGCTGCTACTTCTGTTCATTGTTGACAAACTCCTTCATTTAGGAGACACACAAATAATTCCAGAGCAACCATGGCACAGGTGTATTTGTCATTTTCATTCAGGTTCTTGTACTGAATTTCAAAATGCAAAGTACATTTCAGTTCTAACTATAACGAGTCCCCAAGTGCACTTAAACTCAGTCACAGGGCAGGATGCAATGGTTAACTTGCATCTACCACTAATGGCTAGAAGAGTCAATTCCATTGGAGCTGGGGGTGATTCCATTTTCTGACTGCAGCTCCCCAGGCAACCCCAAAGCCAGATCTGGAAAAACCTCTGAAAATAGTTTTTATAAGGTGTGAAATGGGAGGGGAGTAGAAGGTAGTTCCAAAAAGTCATTCAGTGAAATAACTGATTTAGTTCAGTGTTTCTCAACCTTTGGGTCTCCAGGTGTTTTGGCCTACAAGTCCCAGAAATCCCAGCGAGTTTACCAGGTGTAAGGATTTCTGAGAGTTGAAGGCCAAATCATCTGGGGACGCACAGGTCGAAACACACAGATTTAGTTTATAGATTGTACTCTGATTGTTGTCTACAAACACCAAATTTAGATGGGCTTGAGGACTGATTTGCTCCATGTTTTCCATTAATATGACTGTTCCCGTGTTTTTTTATTTTTTATTTTTTTGTAATTTTTGTAGAATCACGAAATTTTACAAGTTGGAATAGGGCATAAGGGCTATCCAGTTCAACCTCATGCCATGCAGAAATATGCAACTAAAGCCCTTCTGAAAGATGTCCATCCAACCTCTTTTTAATGACCTCCAAAGATGGAAAGTAGACTATTCCACTGTTAAACAGTTTTGACAATAAACAGGTTCTTTCTAATGTATAGGCGGAATCTTACAATTGAAATATTGTATTTTGTGTTCTGGAACAAGAGAAAACAAGCTCACCCAATTTATAAACCATGATGTCATCCAGAAATATGCAATTTATTTTCTAATAGTACTTGTAAGATCTACCACAGAATAACTGCTAGTCTATATGCACATACGCAAGGTGCATAAGCTTTCCACCATGCCTGCATGCATGTATCCCAGCAACCCCCTCTCTTGCTAGAAGCCTTCTTTCCCTCGTCCCCTTAACAAAGAAAGAGTGTCATTTAAGAACTACTAGACTGTCTTCTCTCAACACATACAAACACAAACCTAGGTACATCTGTATGAAATCTGTGGGAAACTAAGAGGAAACATGTCTGTGACAGTGGACTGAGAAGGTTAGGTAGCTAACTGGGAGCTGTACAAAGCTAGGGTACACGGATTGTACATCACTGCAACAGGACTTTGTTTTTGTTTGTTTCACCTACAATAAAAGCACTTGGACATTCACAGTGTATCCTGCATATTTCAGTTGGTGAGAATCCCAGTTAAACTTCAATTTCAAGTTGTAACATAACATAATGTTGAAAATTCAAAGACGGATGATTAATACTTCTGCAAGACACTGCAGTGCATACAAGCCACATTTTGGAATTGGTGATTAAATTAAATTTGTTCAAAATGAAATTAAACAATGTTCCTGTCACATCCAAATTTAGGAGTAAGATCCATTTAAAAATTTTCTGTACTTTCATTGCATCCCTTTGAGTAACTTCCCTAAGCAAGCAATAGTTTGGGTTTCGTTCTTTGGGTATCATTACAATAAAATCAACAAAAGGAGCAACAAGTAATTCTAATAATATCTTTAAATAATAATATCTTCATTTATACCCTGCCCCATCTCCCTAGGGACTTGGGGCGGCTAAGAAGACAGCAGCAATGCAAAGAGAGCAACATAAAATATACAACAATAACCCAATCAATATGAAGGTGCACCAAAAAAAAATATAAAAAATAACAAATGAAATTTAACATGAACCACAATTATTAAAATAAATAACAGTAAACACAACAGTAGATTAAAGTTAAATCTACCTTTTTGGGCCTCTTCAAATCTATCATTTTCTGCCAGCCACTGAGCATACGGAACATAGACATCATCCTTAAATTCAGGATGCTTTTCACACAAAGTAAAAGCCTGATGAATAAGATAAATTCAATGTAATAATGCAAGATACAACTGAATGTTATTATTTCCAAATTCACAAATATATCTGAGAAACTATTTTGACAGTTTCAAATAGTTTCAAATAATGAAATTTGTGAACTTGATATTAGAACATATTCAAGAACTGATGCTCTGACCAGCAAAAATATTAACACTGGGATCATTAATCTATTCCTCAAAATAGTTAAAATGAAAGCACCAATACTTTATACATTTGCCACCAAACAGGCTCCCCCAGAACAAAAGTTTGAAATCAGGCTTACACTTATCTAGAACTAAACTTCACTGAGACTTATTTCACACTAAGCACACATGGATTGAAATGCATAGATCGGTTTAATAGCCAAGAAACAGAAAGAGATCAAATATAATAGGAAATTCTTAGAATAAACTTAGAATTCATAACAACTCATTTCCACTAAATTCCATTGGTTTTCTCCTTTTATACTTGGAGTTGGGCAGGTGTGTCCTTCCAAAACAGAAATACAACATAATCATGTTGACTCTTGCTGTGTCTTAACAAGTCTGGAGAGAAAGCAAGTGATATAGGAGAAGCCATGAACAACTACTTGGATAAAGACAGCAAGTGCAGAAATTGAAAAACCAGAATGAGCAGAACCATCATTTGTGGTTTTCTACTGTGGCACAGCATTTATAAATCCTCTACTCTCCGCATTGGAGTAAAACTACACTCACTGAAAGAAGATAAACATGCCACAGATTAATATCAATCTCTGTAACTTCTGCCATAAAACAAACCCCATAGTGCCTAACATGTTGAATGTTCACTACATAGTTAGTTGGGGCTGTAATTAATGAACTTCCTTTCCTTAGATGGCTTGCTTCCCATGTAAATGCTGGATTATTTTCATAGAACTTCTAATAACAAGATGGCTCTCATCTGTTCTATACAATTTACCAATAGAAGGTAAACAACAGCCCTGGGCCTATATGCAGCCACCCGCTAGACTGGGTATCTTTGGACAAAAAAGCAGGAGCAAATTTCTTAACCTAGAAGCCTTCAGGAGCATAATTCACAATTAAATGGGTTGCAAGTCTTTTTGCTCTAAGATAATGAAATACTTTTTTTTGGGGGGGGGGGTCAAAACTGACTTCCAGCCAATTTGAAATGTTCATTTTGTATTTTTATCACCCCTTTTGGGAGTATTTCTGACAGTCTGTGTGGTCCTCAATAGGGGCCTAGGGACAGAAATTAACTCCAGGACCCACTTAGAGTGAAGTGATTTTCTGAGTGGCAATCTGTATGTAGCCGAAGCAGTAACACTCCAAACAAGTGGAAAAGATTAGCACGCTTGTGGCAACTTTAGCCTCGGAGAAAAAAAAAGAAAAAAAAATCCCTGTACCCCTTCAAGAATAAATATAACTGATAAGCCTTTAGCAAAGGACTGCACTTGCCTCATCCCACTGCTGAGTCTCTACATAAAGCTGTGTCAATGCCTTCAAATCACCAATCTTCATGTATGTTTCTGCTGCATAGCCATGATTGAGTAACTTTTTGAAATAATGTGCACACTTTGTCAAAGGCTCCCGCTCAGCTTTATCAAGCTTCCGAGCAATATCGATCAGCCTAGATTTAAAGCAACAACAACAGACAATTAAACAGACATCTAGCCTTATAAATCATTAGAACTGCTCTTAATTCTTGCTGCATCTTACACATACGCACATGCATAGGCTGCTCTCTATAGGTTCACACATGTAACTGGATGCTTTTGTTTCCATTAATTAGCAGTTCTGGCTTGCTCAGAAATGTATCTGTTCATCAGAAAGGAACTAACCAAGCACAAGAACTCCAGTAAGCAAAACCCTGAATAAACAAATGCAACTGGAAGACATCTGTTAGCAAATCCATAATTCCCCAATTTCATTTTCTGAGCAACTCAAACTCAGAATAAAACTGAATTATCAAGCCGGGTGCTGCTGAGTGCAAATTTAACTGCTTTTGTAATATCAACAGTGCATACTTTGCTTTCGAAATGCAGCATTAGCTATACAGCTAACACTTTCGGAATATTATATGGAAAGCAGCATTCATATAAGCTAATGAAAACTTGGAAGATAAGTTGGCTAAGTATTTAAAGTGCATCGGGAAATAAAAAAGATTAACCTGCAACTATGTTTTAATTGTAAAACATCTTGCACAACTTAACCCAGTTAAATTGTGAGTTCTTAGGATCCTGAACTCTTCTAAAAGGTAAAGATAAAAGTTTCCCCTTGACATTAAGTCCAATCATGTCTGACGCTGGGAGGTGGTGCTCATCTCCATTTCTCAACTAAAGAGGCAGCGTTGTCCATAGACACCACCAAGGTCATGTGGCCAGCATGGAGCACCGTTACTTTCCCGCAGAAATTGATCTACTCACATTTGCATGTTTTTGAACTGCTAGGTTGGCAGAAGCTGGGGCTAACAGCAGGAGCTCACCCCAGTCCCTGAATTCGAACTGCCAACCTTTCAGTCAGCAAGTTCAGTGGTTTAACCCACTGCATCACCAGGGGGCCCTGAACTCTTCTAAACAGATCCAAAAAGACCTCATCCCACTGTGTTTTTCAGCATAGGCAACCCACAAAATAAGCACAACCAGAAAAATAAGTTGGAAAAAAGGATGGGAGGGGGGTAAAAAATAAGGTAGTCTAATTTTCAGAAAAAAAACAAAGGAGACATACACATCAACCCAGCCCTGATCTCCACTGATTTCAATGGCCTTCATGTGCTCGCCTGCCGTGATGTACATTTCCACAGCTGCTTTCGGTTCATTAATGTTCTTGGCCCAGTCTGCTTGTTTTGTGATTAGCATCTTCGTATCTTTGGGATCTCCAGAACCAAGGAATTCCTGAGGAAGTGTAACAGATAACATTTGTTGTATCAATGTCCAATTCCAAACACAGATCTCCCCAATTTTCAATTTGTTCTTGTAACTAAATTGGCATTTATATTGTATTGACACTAAAAGATAAAAAGCAAAAATTATCAAATCAACTGCTTAGATTTAAGCATATCTTTCATCACAAGGCAGCTGCAGAAACGCTCAATCTTGATTTGCTGTTTAAGAGAAAACAAGAAAAACTTCAGTTTAGTTTTGTTTGGTTGCAGGGATTTGCCACGAACAACTACTTTAAATAAAGCTAAAAGATAGTTTACAATTTCCTTTATAAAGCTCAGTCTTGATGGAATGTAACTTAAGATTTACTGCTGTTCTTCCTTACAGGTGATTCAGGATAAACAGCACTCAACCTTTAGGAGGAAAATACAACTCCTTGGTGAGTTGGAGCTTAGTAGAAGAGTACGTGCTTTGTGTTCTAAGGGCTCCAAGTTTGATTTCTAGCATTTCCAAGTATGAATGGGAAGGACCTCTCACTGAAAACCTGAAGAGCTGTTGCCAGTTAAAGGAAACAATGCAATAAATCAGTGGTCTCACTCAGTACAAAGCAGATTTTTATTAGTTCAGTTAATGACCATGCGATTCTCATTTTTTGTCTCTAAAAATTGTAACCAAAATGTGCTAAAGCATAGAATTATTGTTAAAACACTACCTATGCAGATAGCAATTTTGTATTTACTAGACAGTTGACACAGAGGAACAAAAACTTTAAATGTTTTTAAAATGTGTACAGCAGACTACACCAAAAAAGTATTACTGGATACTCTGGTGTGCTCACTGATGTGTGGCATAGAAAGATGTGTCTTTCTCATAAAATATTGTATGTCAATCAATGTTGTATGAATACACTTCCACTTGTGCAGCAGGATGTCTCCCCTCCTCCTCTGCACCTCCCTCACACACCTCAAAGCTGGTGGACCTCGTAAGCTCTCATAACAACAATTGTATTTGTTCTATGGGTGGGAAGACATGGCTGAATGCTATGTACTGAACTATGTGTATACAAAATCAGCTGGTACAGAAGAGCTCAACTCAGGAAGAAAAAAGGTGATGGGTAGAAATGAAATGTGTGAATCAGATAGTCACAAATACCAACAGTAACCTTGAACAACATTAAACAGAAATTTAAAATGGGAACAACACTATAATGAAGCTCAGAGAAAATAATCTTGAATAGTACTGGGATCACAATCCTTGTTGACACATCCCTGCAATGCAACAGATTGATGTAATTCTGCCATGAAAGAAAACCCTCCATGTGCTTTTGGACAGCAACAAACAAGGACAGAAATGGAGAGGCCGGTGTGAGATTGTGGGCACCCCATATCTGCAGCATCCAGACATGTTGTGAGACATTTAGGCCACCTTACACTTGCGCAAGGGCGCAAGCCCATATTGGTAATATGTAGAATAACAGGATGATGATTCTACCATATGGTAAGATATGGCACCTGTAGCATATCAGTGCTGAAATAAGTTTTGTTGATTGGGTCTGACTGATCTCCTTTCAAATAACATAGATCTCAATTTCATTTTTATTTTGTGTACCGTGATGCATGTATCAGTCTATGGGGTCACTTGTTAATGTTGCAATGGATTAAAATCTCCAAATTTAGGCTTTTTATAACTAAAATACATATAGCATAGTATGTGCATATTTTTAAATCCAATTGTTCTTAAATACGTCATGCTATTCTATGTGGCCAATTTAAGAGCATGCCAAGTTGTATGCTAGTTAAGAAGCTAAAAGGAATGAGAGATAGTGTTTGTTGTATGTAATTACATTTTGTATCTTAGATGACTGAACCAAATTAGAAGCAGAAAGTTCAGTTTCCTGAACTGCAGTTAATTATTTGGAAGTTGACAGTAATATGTGGTTTGATATAACGATAAACAGTCAAAAGCCACATGTGTACATGGTCTCCAGATCTGTGCCCAGATTATGGGATCCTTCAATACAAACTCTCCGGCCATTTGCAGCCATCAAGGCTCAGAAGAAATACTTTGCAAATCAATACTAGCATAAGGCCTAAGGCTAGCTGGCTAAAAAAAATTTAACACACTCCTTTAGAAAAGAACAACCACCCGAAATGTTATCTACGTCCAACAACAGAAAATAACTTCCTCAATTCAGCTTTTCTCTTTGTGCATGAACTTCTTCATGAGGTTCACTCATGCATTATATATAAATACTTGTAATGAAGGCCAGATTGCTTTAAGTTTTGCAGCACAGAAAAATATAAGGCAAGGACAAGAATTACTCACAGGATCCTTCCCCAAAGTTTCTATTCCTTCCTTCCATACATGAATTAATTTAGAAAGAAATCCCAAGCACCTGCACAGTTTATTACTTACACAGAGCTCTGCCTATTAGAACCACATTGAAAAGGTATCAATTGTATTGTTCAACAGTGCATCTTATACATGTCTACCTCAATGAATTCAAAGGGACTTATTCACTGAATAGTCTGAATAGGATTCCAAGATCAGTTAGCTGAGTGGAACTAAGCACTGCCAAAATTCACATTAGTATAATGGCAGATTTCTAGTCCACGAGTGAGATTTATGTTCAGAGGCGTTTAAATACTACCCTTCAGAAAGACCTTGCAGTTTTTAAAAAAACACTATCATTCATGCACTGGTAGTATAGCCTGCATTTCAGAGAGCCCACATCTGCCCACCCCTACAACAAAATCCAGGTCTACGTATGTCACCACAAAGCTTTTGTCCAGTAATGGATGGAGTAAGTCTGCAATGAGTGATTAATGAGACTATACAGTACAATGCTTTTCTGAGATTTGATAAGAAAATTCCACAGAAGACTTTAAAAGCTCCCTCATCTGAGTATAAAGCTGTCACATTCTTCAAGCAGAGTACAATTTATTTCTGCTTGGGAATTCAATTTTCAGGCATATACAAATACAACTTCAAGGTTCATTTACAGGATCAAAGAAATCAAATAGGATGTCAGTTCAAGATTAGTATTGTGAAACCTGTCACGGTACCCTGGAACTCCCGGGGTGTTTTGATCACATCCCTGAAGCAGTGCCAATTGGTGCAGAGTGGAACTGTTGGGATGGAGGGCCAGGTGATCAGAGGTGGGACAAAAGATAAACAAGGTCCAAAATCAGAAGCCACAAAAATCTATGCTCAAAAGATATCCAGAGAAAGAAAGGCTGCTAATTCTGGCTGAGGAACTTTACAAGATTCCCCCAATACCACCACCACCCCCAAAATCTCAGATCAAATTTCAACATATTGCTCACCTATCCAAATTTATCTCTTTGTTCCCTTTAACTATTTAAACCCAAACTTGAATAGTCAGATTTTTCAGAAGACACATTTATAAGTGTAAGCATATTCCTTATACAAGTTTTATTTATTATATCTTATTTTTGGTTTTGTTTGTTTCCTCTTCTCACTCTACAGGAATGGGAAGCAGAAAGGAGAATGTCTTCTATTTTTAGCTACAACTGCCCTCTGGCATTTATGCATAAATTCCCACCAACTTCTGATCTGTGATCTGCTTCTTGCAGACTTCCTCAATTACTTGTGTTAACACACAGTTGTCACCATGCATTTTCTTGGGAACTGAAGTCCATATTGAGCATCTCCAATATGTTGGACATGGTTTTATTTTCTGTATTGTCAGATTTTTATTGGAATTTGAGTAGCTTCTGCTCTATAGCTTGAGACAGCTGTATTGGAATGTCATATGTTCCTTGTGATGTATTTGCTCCAAGTCCTCTGAGTGCAGATTTCACTTCACTTTCTAATATTGTGGGGTCATCTTCAAATTGTTCTTCCTTGATGGACTGTGTGCTTCCCTATATCAGTAGAGACTTTGGTAAGGAATTCAGGTTGCAAATCAAGGTTGATAAAGAGTTAGTCAAGAAACACCTTGTAAACCTAAATGAGTTCAAATCTGCAGGGCCACATGAACAGCATCCAAGACTATTGAGAGAACTCACTAACATACTCACAGAAACACTTGCTATCACTTCTGAGAAATCCTGGGGAACAGGAGAAGTGTCAGAGAACTGGAGACAAGCAAGTATTATACCTCTCTTCAGAAAAGTAAAATAAAAGATCATTTAGGAAACTACAGACCAGTCAGCCTAACCTCAATACCAGGAAGAATACTGTACAAGAGTCAGTATTGGTAACAATGTAGAAGCCAGCATGAGTTTATCAAGAGCAAATCCTGACAAACTAACTTGATATATCAAGTCCTTAATTTAGTACATGCTAAGAATACCCTGGTGGCACATCAGATTAAGCCACTGAGCTGCTGAACTTGCTTTCCAAAAGGTTGGCAGTTTGAATCCAGGAAGTGAGGTGAGCTTCTACTGTTAGCCCCAGCTTCTGCCAACCTAGCAGTTCGAAAACATGCAAATGTGAGTAGATCAGTGAGCACTGCTTCTGCGGGAAGGTAATGGTGCTCCATGCAGTCATGTCAGCCACATGACCTCGGAGGTGTCTATGGACAATGCCGGCTCTTTGGCTTAGAAATGGAGATTAGCACCATTCCCCAGAGTCAGACATGACTAGACTTAATGTCAAGAGAAACCTTTACTTTTACCTTTACTGGGAATACTGTGGATGCCATTAATCTAGATTGCAACATAATATCTGATAAGGTACCCCATGATTAGCAAACTAACTAAATATGGAATAGATGGGAACAACATCAGATGGATCAATAATTCCTTGGAATGCTGTCTTCAAAGAGCTGTCGCTACTGGCTGTACTTCAAGTTGGAAAAAGTTATCAAGTGAAGTGCTGAGGGGATTGGATCTGATGGCCAATAGATTCCCTTCAGACTTTATGATTTCATGGCTCTAGGGACATGCAATCTCACACCATGGAAAGGTAGTGCCATAGTGGGCACATCTCCATTAGTGGCTCAAAAAGTATTTTGAAGTTTGAAATCAATTCCGAGGCTCCAGGTCAGACCTATAGCATTGGCTTCTGAGACGAAGTTCAATTCATATCCATTCCAAGCTAGAGGACAGCCCAAAATGAAAGGCATCTCATTACTATTAAAGGTACAAATCTGAATGGGAAGAACATTGCAGCAGTTTGTATTCTGGTGCTACAGAGAATTGAGCCCAAGTAAAAGATTCAAATGACAAGAAATGATAAGATTCTAACTAATTATTAGGTAAAGCTTCTTGATATTCCTTGTTGTTCAGAAGTAGAACTGAGTACCTTGGAGAGTGTCATATTTTCATTCATTGCGAGTTTTTAAATAGAGGTTGGATAGCTATATGCCAGTAATACTTTAGATGTGAATCCCTGCATTGGCAGGAAGCTGGATTAGATCACTCTTGGGATCCCTTCCAGTTGTATAACTCTATGATTCAATGAGGATGAAATTACTTTTGCACTCTGAAATATGATATAGTCAAAGGTTTCTATTTCTATTGATTTTTAAATGATAGTCCAAAGAAAACTGTCTGGATGAGATCCTAGAAATATACTTATGTTCTTATTTTAGAGCTGGAAGACTATTCTGTTTGCCTGCTTATTTAGTTTTCAGATCAGGGAGTGATGCCTGCTATTTCCTTGAATAAGTTGGGATGGCAAGGCACTCTTTACTTGGCTTTCAGAGATATCTACACTGGAATAAAACGAAGAGAACCTGGTTAAAGAACAAAGCTTTGGTCTACAACTCCCAGAATACAACACAAATGGCTGTGCTTGTGAAAGGATACTGGAACTTGTTGTTCAAAATTCAGGTTCCAAGCGCTGCATTTTCTTTTAAATCCTCTGCTGAGTGAAAGGACCTATTTCATTTGATGCTTTTTGCATAGTAACCCTGAAAGGAGTGAGTCTTTAGCTTGAGAAGCATCAGTTAAAGTGCCAACTTACTGCATTTAATAATACACTTAGATATTTTTTTCACAGGATGTACTAGGCACGATACAGTTCTGCCAGTTTTAAAACACTGGGTCATGGTGCTAACCAACAGCAACCAGAGATCTGTACTGCACATGTGCTCTAATTCAAACTAGACTGGGAGTCAGTTCTCTGTTTCAAAAAAAAAAAGAAGCAGTTTCCCCCAAGTTAGAAGTCTCCAGAATAATAGGATAACCTGGGGGTTGAGAAGCGCGGGGTACAAATATCTGAATTAAATAAATATGAAATAAATATGGCTATTACTCAAGCTAGATAAATAAAACCTTTATTTTTAGATGTGGCAGCATGCCACTGAGACTACAATTCTATATAGATTTCTTACAAAGTAAGCCCCTTTGAAACCAATAGGAATTATTGGTTTCATATATGAGATTCTATTGTGAATTTCATTTGCTGGGTACAAACAACAGAGAATCTCCTGCTCCTATCCTGTCAGTCTGATCTGATAATGCTGTTATTGCATTTGTTTAGTTATTATGTTTACATTCTATCTTTCCTCCACAGAGATCAGAATAGTATGCATGGTTTATGCTTCTCATATTATTACTGACAATGACCAGAGGAAAGCAGGTTGGGTTGTGAGTTAGAATAATTTGAATGAGCTTTTAAAATGTGTTTTATAAATGTTCTGTCTTTGCATCTTTAGAGCCCCCTATGAACTGGTGCAGGCTCTAAGATCAGCTGGGGAGGCCCTCCTCTTGGTCCTGACACTGTCACCAGCGCAGTTGGTGGGGACAAGGGAGAGGACCTTCTCGGTGGTGGCCTCCCGGGTTTGGAACGCCCTCCCCAGAGAGACCAGGCAGTCCCTACACTATCCTCCTTTTGTGGACACTTGAAGACATGGCTATTTAAACAAGCTTTTGAGAACGCCTAGTCCCTAATTGTTCTGCATAACAATCATGCAGCCTGCATTTTATCCCATGCCCTCTCTCCATTGTTATAGCTCTGCACTTTTCCCATTCTCTTGTCCTATTGTCTACAGCCTGGCCACATTTACAACGGCTTACCATTGGTCGATGAGCACAGTTTTATTGAGTTTTGGTTGGTGTTTTATATGAGTATGTGTTTTATGTATTGCATTTTATACTGTGTTTATTTTATGTATTTGTTCATCACTTCAGAAGCCCTTCTAGATAAAGAAATACTACAAATAAATAAATGCATAAATATGTCAACTCCATGGTTATACCCTGTGCATCTCCCTCTTTTTATTCATTTTCTCTTCTCTATCTCTAATTTTTTGTTTGTGATAAAGAAATTCACTTTCATGTAGAATAGGAATTTCTTCACAGATTTATATTTCCAATTTCCCAATTTAAAAAAAATTAAAGCATAATGCTTTCCACCAGCCTCTAGTCCTGGGAGACTGTGGGCTCTAGATCAAAATCCTGGAAAGAACAATTAATTGCTGGGAGACAAGAAAAGAAGAGATTCTCTTTACAAACATCTATCTTCCTACTTCCCCCCTCCCCAAAAAAAAAAATCTGGTGGTTAAAACATTAAGAGCATTAGGTATATAACTTCTGAAGCAACACTTGCAAGCAGAGGCTTAAAAGGACAGAAATCCAAGGATAGAGAGAGACAAGGAAAGAAAGACATTTACAAACTTGAACCAGTTTATGTCTACTACAGAGGTATTCACTCTTCAGAACTTCACAGAACTATTCATCTGATGACTACATGATGGCAACTCTATTTGTAATCTTAAAATTTGTTCCATTTCCCAGAGCATTCACAACTGTGATTTCCAAACAATTTTTGAGTCCCTAACATGAGAGAGAAGTCTTACACAGATGCTTCAATAAAAAAATCATCGTAGTACTAGCTCTAAGTAGAGCCTAATGTGTACCCCTATTTATCATGTTCATTCTCCACATGGCACAGAAAATAGAGAAACTTCTCTTGTGAGTGTAATTCAATGGGAAATAAAGGGACAATTGGCATATATATTCTTGGTAACTTGGTAAGCATAGCTGCATATAACACTCTCTACTTAAAATTTCTGCAAAATGGAAATCCTTTCCCCAGCTTTCCTCACCTATTCTGTAGATTTCCCCTCAGTGAACAATGGGTCCAAAATGACAATGTTTGCTTATCCATATCTTTCATCTTGCTTTAGTCTCAGTCATAGATTTTGTTTTCTAACTGCTGTATTTTGCCTGCTTTCCACATTTGTCCCTTTATTTCCCATTGAATTACACTCACAAGAGAAATGTCATTTTTCCATCTGTAGGGAAAAACATGTGTACTAAGGTTTGTTCTTGGCAGCCCACTTGGATTGTGGGCTTTGCATCCTTGTTTGACATGCTGCAAATATAAGTGTGGAGCATATAAAACAACAGACCACCATGTACATTCCTGAGAAATCAGTCAAGTTCAGTGAGGGTTTGAAACAAGCATAAGAATAGGAGACACGTGCACCAAATGGAAACAGCTTGGTTCTTGCACACGTAGGCAGATTTAAAGAAATACACCATAAAGAGCATCAACATACCCTTGCATAGTCAAACATGCGTAAGTCTGTGTACATATCAAGAGCCAGGTTTTCATGGCCACTTCTTTTGTACAGTTTGGCTGCCTCGTGAACCTTTCCCTGGTATGCATAAACATCTGCGAGAAACAGGTCATTGTTGTTCTCTCCACGCTTCTTCCTCTCCTTAAAAAATAATAAAGGACAGGAAATAGTTTAGCCAACATAATCACTCAAGAAACATGACTGGCCACAGACACTGGAAATATTAAGCAATGATTCACAAAGGTTTTATACTGGATTACTTGCATTTTAATTTTAAATCTACTTAGGCCTTTAGCTATCAATACCACTGTTTGGTAAGCTTCTTCTACTAAATAGTCCCTCTCCCACCACTAACATTCCAGTAGAATGGAGAAGGGGGGAATCCAACTTAAATGCAAGGAAAAGAGCCATCAAAAGGCAGAATAGAATCTCATTTAAAAACAGGCACATGGTTCATAAGGCAGATCAAACTACTTTTAATTGTATATTGGCTTATTATTAATGACTAGTATATATACCCAGTGTTGCCCAAGTGTTGTTGGGACGCTGCCCACCTACTTTTTTTTCCTTTCCTTTCCTTTCTCTTCCTTCCTTCCTTTCTTTTTTCTTTCTTTCTTCCCCTTCCCTCCCTTCTCCTTTCTTGACAACACAGAGGGCCACTTCCCCTCATACTTTTGTGGTACAAACAGACAAACATACATGCATACAACCTTTGACTCAAAAATACCTACAAACCATAGCCTAAGTCACAGTATTTTTAGGAAACCTGATCAGACCCTCTATTTAGTGGTCAGTAAGGCAGTTTTCTTCTTCTAGCACAGTGGTTCTCAACCTGTGGGTTCCCAGATGTTTTGGCCTACAACTCCCAGAAATCCCAGTTTACCAGCTGTTAGGATTTCTGGGAATTGAAGGCCAAAACATCTGGGAACTCACAGGTTGAGAACCACTGTGCTAGCAACCTCAGGCTGGTCAAAGTTCCTCTACACACAACTCAGGGAAGCTTGGGGAAAAGACACGCATGTGAAGGGGTTGTGGGAAATGAGACACTCTCTTTCTGCTCCATTACATTTCGACAGTACTACACTATGGATTTTTTTGAAGCTTAGGCCTCTTTCACATTACATAATTATAGCATTCTGAGACTAGCTCCATCCTATGAGATACTGGGATTTGCAGTTTGCGGAAACAGAGAATTAGATTTAAGTTCTTCAGCAAAGAACTCTAAATACTTCATGAAAGAAAGATTGTTTTTGATTAAACAGAAGTAATTATCATAATAATTAATTATGAATAATAGATAATATTAGGGCTAACTTTTGTTTGCTTTCTGAAGGATAGCTATTCACTATGGCAGTGTATCTTTTATATGTCTACTAGCAAAACTGATAAGATTACAAAAGGAAGCATATTTTTAATGGTAACAAAAGATGGAGAAGCATTAATTAGGATCTAGTTATAGCAGCTGTTGAAAAGATTATAAGCTACTTTTACTTTTTAATTCATTCTTTCTTTCTTCTCTTTTCCCCTCCTTTTCTCCCTTTCCCTCCATTTTATGTAGTATATGGATTCTTTTCTTCATATGTTTTTTTCTGCATTATTACATAACTTTAATAATACAAAAAAGAGGAGAAAACCTAAAGGACACCTCTGGGGAAGAACATCGAGCCACATAAATTTCTCTCTTTTTTTTCAGCACAACTTTCTTCAGTGCTCTCCCTCTCACACACACATGTACAAAAATGCAGACTCTCTCAAAGACAACACTGATCTATGATCAAAAGCACTTGAAGAAGTCATCAGCAAAGAGCAGAACACAAAAGGCAGCCAGATGCTGAACAAATCTGTTCTGGACAAATATGTACCACAAAATACAAATTGTCTTGATGCTCATATAGGATCACTTTAAGACTGTTCTCAGGCTCATTCCCCTGAAGGCACTTGATGGTGAGTGGATCAGCAGTAAGTAGAAGCAGATGTCACATTGGCTGGAACATTTCTTTAAGCTATACTCTCCTCAAATGATCCCACATAGTGTCACACAACAGCCTAAGATAAAACCTGACATCACAACTTGAGGGGTTGAAACAGTTACCTTGGAGCAATTGTGACTGGTAACTTGTAATTTAACAAGGAACTAAATATAATCTGAAAGTGATCATGACTTAGCTTAGCACATTTCAGCACTGTTCTTGAAACAGTGCCAAAGTCTCCATTAAGACAATGATGTTGAACCACCAGACTTGTGTTCCCATTATTCTCTCACACGCTAGTGAGAAATGAACAACTTATTGTTGTCAAGTAAGGAAACTCAACAGTTTCACCTTGACATTTCACATTATATCCTTACATTTCAGAATAAGATAAAATTGTCAAAGTCAATAGCCTTTTCCAGGCCAATTTATCTTCTTCTCAAACACATATGGTGGGGCTTGTGTGCATACATGCAAAATAACTATATGTGTCCTGAGCCTTTTTAATCTAGGTTATTCATCTATCTCCTTTTCCCATCAATCTTGTACTTTTCTCAAAATCCTTATAGGACATACATATAAACTGGACAAATTTGATGCATATAAATATTCTTTTTATTCTTTGTTGTCCCATTTGTTTCTAGGCAAAACTCTTAGAACTATGACAAGGAATATATTGGCACAAAAAAAGAAGAAATTTCAAGTGTCTGGTAGCTTTAGATTTTATAGCATAATATGAATTTAATAACGAAGATTATAAACATCAGAAAGTGTTGTATCTTATTTATATTCTAAAAAATTAATGGTTACCATCTGTACTATCACTATGTTGTTATAGTGATCGACACCACAGAAATGCCCATAATTTTTAATTAAGTACTTTGCATTTTAAAATCTGTCTTTTTCAAGTGAGGAAACATGATACTAAACACAACTTCTAAAAAGTCATTTCTGACAGACAGTTAAGAACAAGTTTCAATGAAGTACTTTCAAAGTCATTCACATTAAGAAGTTAAGAAAATATCCTCCAAGAATGCACCACTCTTTGTGAAATAAATTAGGTTTTTATGAAGTACTAGCTGTCCCCTGCCACGTGTTGCTGTGGCCCAGTCTGTGTATATGTGTTTTGTGTGTATATATGTGTGTGTATGTGTGTAAAAGGTGTGTTTGTGTATATATGTGGTTTTGTGTGTGCATTTGTAATGTTTTGTTTTTTGGCTTTTTAAGTCCCTTCTGCTGTGTTTTTCAGTGTTTTTAGGAGTGATGGTCACTCGTTGGCCTGATACGTGTATTGTGTCCAAATTTGGAGTCAATTTGTCCAGTGGTTTTGAGTTATGTTAATCCCACAAATGAACATTACATTTTTATTTATATAGATTACCCTTAATTCACGATCACCTTGACATGCACATCCCATCATCAGAAGCAAAACCAGGTTTTGATCAACAAATAAAATTTCTTGTACAAAATGTATGAATTGTGTGTGTGTGTGTGAACATATCCACCTCAAACACAAATGTTGTTAGAATCCAGATGAGATCAAATTCTCTCCTGAGTAACCCACATTCCTTTAAAAGCAATGGCTTTGACTATAATACTCTACAGATTTTTGCCATTAAATATCTGAAAGGAAAAGCTGGGAAGCCCACCTGGATTAGCTCTTTAACTGTTCAAAGAACCATTCTGTCTTTCAGTCCTGTCAGACCTGGAAACAAGATCTAAGGATTTGATGTGATTTTAAAAAGCAGTGAATCATTTGTAAGCCCTTTATTTCTTAGTATTTCTGGCATTTTATATCAGTTATTCAGAAATGTGGCTTACTAAAATCTATTTTGTGTGAAAGAGTTTCATATCCTAATATCTTAACACAATTAGATAGATGATAGATAGATAGATAGATAGATAGATAGACAGATAGATGATAGATATGCTCACTGAACCTCTCCAATGCTCATGATATAGCTAAAACTTGTTTAACAAAGGACATTTGCCACTATAGTTGTCTCCCTTTTCCTGTATTCTAATTATCTACAAAGATTAATCGGTGATGGAAAAAGACTCTTTATCCTATTTACCCATTGAAGAAATCAATTCCTATCCTGTCCTGCTTACCTTAGTGTTCTGGAAAGCAAGAACACTGAATTCTGAAAGTGATCAAATTCTCTCTTTGCTCAGCAGTTCTAGTAAATGTTGGGAATGTGAAAAAAAAGTTGGGACATTTTACTACATGTCTTGCAAGAAAACCCAGATATACTGAAATACGTGGGATGCTAGAAATAATTGTTAAACTCAAAATCAAAATGAAACCAAAGTTTTATTTGCTGAGAATGCTGGAACCTCATTAGGAAAGAAAACATAAAAGATTACTACAATATATCATAACTGCAGCGAGAATTGTCTATGTGCAGAGATGGAAGGAACTAGTTCTCACAACAGAAGAAGAATGGCTAGTAAAGATCTGCATAGTAGTTAAGATAGACAAGCTGACTATGCTAATCAAGGAGAATTTGAGATTTATTGCTTTGAGACAAATCTCAACTGTTGGATTTATGAATTAGATGAATGTTATTAAAAGTAGAAGTGTAGTTATATACTATAGTAAAGAGGTCATATTATAGTTATAGTTATAATATAGTTAAAATAATAAGGGGTAAAAATCAGTGGACATTGAGTGTGAGGTTCGTAGAATAGTTTCTGTAGTTACGTATGTGTATTAGGCTTGAGCATTTTGGCTGAACAGCGATCTGTTTCTGCTATCCCAATTTTGCCAAGCCCATGGATCCGTTTTCGCAGAACTCCTGAAAACGAGCATGGCCCAAAAAGCCATCTTCGGTCTGCAGTCACAAAATGAGGCAAGATCTGGCCCATTGGCAGCAATGGGGGGGGGGCTTCCTGGGCTCCCCTTCCCATCATTTTTAGGGCTATCGGGATGAAAATGGTCACACGTGGAGGACACATCTACCACTGTTAGCCCATCATGGATCTTACTGCTTACTTACAGAATCCTTAACCAAATATTGCTCTAGACTAAGTGCTCCCAACAGAAAAGGTTGTACTATTCATTTTTCCTAAACAGAGTTTCTCCATTAAAAAAAGATAAGAGGAAACAATCAGAATACCGGCAGTCACTGAGTTACAAACATCCAACTTACAAGCGACCGATAGTTAAGA